AGATCGCAATATTCTAGCTTCTTAGAGGGGAATCCATGTAGGCTGCAAACTGTTAATCTTTATCAAACAGGAAGCGACCTTGAGTGACATTGGCTGATTTTTTTTCTTTGGATCTTACGCATGGCACGCCTGGTATGCCCGGGCTCCAACTGGGAGCTGGAAACTAGGCGACTCGGTAAACCTCGAAATACCGCAGGGCATCCACGGTGGCTTCATTCCCCTTTAAGTGTTGGAGAAACTACGTAAGTTGACTTGCTGATCCATCCAGACATCATCTGCTAAGAAGTACCCTCGGCACCGCGTGCGAGCTGTGAGCTGACCTTGACACTAAACCAGCAGCGCGCCACTGCGCCTTGAACACTGCCCCAACACCTCAGGTCGGCGTTTCCCGGCGGTGCGGGGCTCTCTCATAACAGCAGGAATCTCCCGGCCACAGTGGCTGTGGAATGATTTGTGTCGAGGGTTCCAGTGCGTGTTGGCTGAGGGCTCCTCCGGCGCTGGCCTGGCGACTGGCGCGGCTTTCGCTCATACTTCTCAGATGTGCATAGTTCACCGCTCAGTCTGCCTTCGCTCCCTGCATGCTTACTGTCTTCGTTCGAGCTGGGACGCCCAAACAAGGAGATGGGTGCAGTTTCTTCGGCCGACCGGCCTGCAGGTACCCGGCCGGGGCGGGTGCGCAGACCCCGAGCGCGCCGGCGGCAGTGGTCCTTTCGTGGGTGTGGCCGTACGCGTGTCTCGGCGACCGGCGCAGATGGGGAGTCTCTAGCGCTGGATGAGGCATGCCGGCCGACCAGTTGACGTGGCGATTCCCGCAGTAGTAACCTTCTTCTACCATCTGGCTTTGAGTGTGGTCGGCTGGTCTTCAGGGCGCGCGCGGCGAATTTTTGGTCCACCGTGCGGGGGCCGTCCCACCTGAAGACGGACTGACACAAGCTGCAGCAGGCGAGTGGTTGAAAGGGAGGTCCCATCCCTGGGGCGTATTTCAAAAACATATGTGGTGAAACCTCAGGACCACTTTTGTCGATGAAAGCGCTGGGTAGTGCCACTGCAGCACCATCAAGAAAGGATATTCATCTTGACAATTTTGTAGTCCATGTACGCTGTAAACTTTTTCAGAACGTGACACGTCTTTCTTGATAGCCCCAGATCTCGACAACTGCTTATGTCGCGGCTGCCGTTGTTATGACGACAGCAATGGGAGAAATCAAGGCCATAGACTAGCGGTTCAAAATCGCGTAAGTTGCTGACTGCATTTGCGAGAAACATTATTCACATAGATAAGACAGTAATGATAGTCTTATTCCTCAGAAAAAAAAACAGGAAAATGGAGGAATAGATGCGGTAAGATTGCCTGCCGATGATCCTCCTCGATTTTTTTAGGTTTTTTAAAAGCAGGCCGCAGTTCTTACAGGACACCAACATTCAGGGAAAAACAAGGAGCAATTGCCAGCCATTATTACGATGCACGGAATATCAAACTATGATATAACATACCTGTCATATTCTAATCTTTAGTTAGATATGCACTGTATTGTAGTAATGGCTGGCAACTGATCCTTTTTAATCCCCTGAATGTTGGTATCCTGTAAAAGCTGTGGCTCACTGTTTCAAAAACCTGAAAATGGAATAGGATCATCGGCAGATAATTCTATATTCACTTTTGCTTTTGTTTCGATAAAAGCTTGTAGCCAAAATATCAGCTGACCTATAAGCAGCATTTGTGCTTGGTCTGCGGTATACTAGCCTCGCGTTTGCCTACCTTTTTCTCCAAATAGTGTTTCAAGCTTTCGTAGCATTTATTGCACAAGCCTGTTAACAAATAAGTGCAGTGCAAACATCATGGAACACACACGTTGGAAAAACAAGTCTAATAAAATGTATTACTTTCATAATGGTGAGCAGGGAGTCCAATTCCACTTCCCCAGCAGGAGCGGCTACTTCAAATAGAAAATCCGAGTTATTCAGAATGTTTTCGAGGAAGTTGGTATTATCAATGTAATCGAACGCGTCTAATCTACCAATACGTGAAATGTACGAAAAGTTGGCATACTCCGTTTCAAGTAAAATTGGCATTTTCAATAATTTCAACAAGCTTGAAGAGTGAAAGATAGAACGAGGTAACAGTTTGAACACCTCCTGCACTGGGCTAAGAGCAATCTCATCAAAAACCTCCAAAAGTCATGCAAAGCTCCCTCAAACCCATCCGTTCAGTTTGCCTCTGCGCCGAGCCATGATCCTCGCCCTTCGACGCGCCGTGCCGGGCACCATGGACGGCTGCGAGCTCGTCGACACGACTACCGGACCTGCCTGGCGCGACGCGTTCTGCGAGAGGCGGGCATGTTTCTGGCTAGGGTCCGGGTGGCCGAGTCGGCGCCAGGCCATGTCCGGGCGGCGGGCCCAGCCCGGACCGGGCCGGGCCGGGCCGGGCTGGCTGGCTGACATCCGCTGCAGCCGACCACGCCCGGCTGCCAGCCTGGGCCCGCCAACTTCGCCGAACAGGACGCCCAGTTTCACTAACCGATACAACCGACCAGCCGGCGATCGGCCGTAGTACAGGGTCGGTGCCGCTGCAGCCCGCGCCGCCCGGGCAGCGCGTGCCCGTGCACCGCTCGCGCGGCCCGGCGCAGAAGATGGCGACGTGGCAGCACCCGGACCACGGCTGACTCTCCACCCATCGAAGAGCCGACCATGCTACGGTTCCGCGGTACAAGACCACTTGCCATTCAATAGCGAAACAGGGCATCGCTACATGCGAGGCACAAATTCTCTAACGAGCGGCTA